ACACGGCGGCGCCACCTCCTATGCGCGGTGCTGCGTGGTACGGTGTGGTGCGGCGTAGTGCGGGGCGTTGTGGAGCGGTGCGTTGCGGCTTGGTGCGGGGCGGCGTGATGCGGGGTGGCTTGGTGCGTGGGGTGCGCGCGGTGTGGGGAGTCGCGCGGTGTGGCGAGGGCCGTTCGACGCCGCTTGCGGCTTTAATTTATTTCTTTCTTTTTTCTTCTGCACTTTGAGCCTTAATTTGACCCCCTGAACATGCATGAAAAGTTGTTAATTTTGGCCCAAAAATCAGACCTGGTGAAAAATTTGATAATTTGGTGTTTATTTTTATGGGACTCAAAAAATGCCAGAACAGCGCCACCTACAACAGCCAAAATAATACCCCTATGGGACTTTTCGGAGGTCAAGTTTGTCGTAGAAACATGAAATTTGGTACACATGTTCAAGTCAAGACAAGAAATAAATATTATTATGGCTCCGCCCTCTGACAAACAGGAAGCCCATAAATCTCACTGCAAAATGGAAAAATGAACAGCAAAAGTTTTCATACATGTCGGTTGGAAAGCGACTCCTCCTCGGCCGTTTCACCGATTTGCCTCAAATTGCTCCACATCATCTCAACACATGTACCTTCAAAATGACTTCAGGGATTTTTGATCAGTGAAACATTGTTTGAGCAGCGGAGCGGCAAAATGTGACCTTTTTTTGGCAGTTTTTGACAACATAAAATTTGCTCCCGTTTGCACATACAAAGTCTGATTTGCACAAAACTTTAATACATTGTTCAACTCTAGGGTCTAGGTCATTTGAAAGTGAATTGATTCAAATTGACACATTAGCGCCCCCTACAGACTATTTCAAAATTTTAGATGGGCATTTTCAAATTTAGTTTTTTCAAAATGTTTGAAATTTTGCACATACATCTGTTTTGCCCTCTTGATTGAAAAAGTCAATCGGGTCCAAGGCTTATTTTTTACCCTGTTGCCGTGGCGACGACAAACGCTCCCCATTCATTGCAAATGTACACCTCACACAAACATCAAACCAGCCTCAGCCGTTTCACCTATTCGCCTCAAAATCGCTCCACATCATCTCAACACATGTACCATAAAAATGACTTCAGGGAATTTTGATCAGTGAAACATTGTTTGAGCAGCGGAGCGCCAAAAAGTGGCGTATTTTTTTTCAGTTGTTGACAATAGAAACATTGCTTCCGTTTGCACAAACAAAGTCTGATTTGCACAAACCTTGAATCCATGGTTCAACTCGTGGGTGTAGGTCATTTGAAAGTTAAAATTTTGAAATTGGCTCTATAGCGCCACCTACAACAGCCAATTTAAAAATGCCTATGGGAGGGGTTCGAGGTCAAAATTGTCGTAGAAACATGTAGTTTGGAAAACATGTTCCTCAAGTCAAGACATGGAAAAAATGTTATTATGAATAAGCCCTCTGACAAACAGGAAGCCCATAAATTTCATTGCAAAATGAAAACCAATCATTTTCATACACGTCGGTTGGAAAGCGACTCCTCCTCGGCCGTTTCACCGATTGGCCTCAAACTTTTTCAAAATCATCTCAACCCATTTACCTTCCAAATGTCTTCAGGGAATTTTGATCAGTGAAACGTTGTTTGAGCAGCCGAGTGGGAAAATGTGAGGTTTTTTTTTGGCTCTTTTTGACAACATTAATTTTGCTCCTGTTTGCACAAACAAAGTCTAATTTGCACAAAACTTTAATCCATTGTTCAACTCCAGGGTTTAGGTCAGGTTAAAGTGACCCATTAGCGCCCCCTACAGACTCTGTCAAAGTTTACATTGGGAGCCAAACCAGCTCTACTTATCATATTCATTACGATTTGACTAACATGCTTCTATGGCTACGGGAACAAATCATCACACGGCGGTGCCACCTCCTTTGAGCAATGCTGCGTGGTACGGTGTGGTGCGGCGTAGTGCGGCGTAGTGCGGGGCGTTGTGGCTTGGTGCGGGGCGGCGTGGTGCAGGACGGCATGGTGCAGGGCGGCTTGGTGCGCGGCGGCGTGGTGCGGGGAGTGCGCGCGGTGCAGGGAGTCGCGCGGTGCGGCGAGGGCCATTCGACGCCGCTTGCGGCTTTAATTTTTTTTATTTTTTTTATTTTTTAGACAAACATGTTTAAGTCCCACATCAAACAGAGACAAACATTATTTTAATTGGGTACATGTGATCTCAAAAGATTCTTTCTACAATTAAGCTTTAATCTGCAAAAAACGTCTTAATTATTGTCTTATCTGATTTTTTATTTTTTTTATTTTAAAATATATCTGCTGATCTACTGTTATCAGTTAAAGATGTATTCGAAAAGAGCAAGATTTAATCATGCCTTTTGAAACATTGGGGCCATATAATGACTTGACATTAGAGCTGCAACTAACGATTATTTTGTAATCGATTAATCTATCGATTATTTTTACGAGTAATCGCTTGGCTGTGAATTGTGTAGAGAAATTATTTTTTCATCACAAAAAGCTAAAGTGGCAACTCTCGGACTTTGGCGTAAACTTAAAGTAAATGTTTGTAACAGGCTCTTTGTCTCATCCAATCCGATAGCAGAATTAGCACAAACAGATATTCATGAAATTATAAAAACAAAGTCGGTTTTAATCAAAATACTACATTTTCATGTCATTTTTGCTCTGTTTTGAGTCCGTGTGAACCAGAAAACGATTAATCGATTACTAAAATAGTTGTCGACTATTTCAATAATCGATTAGTCGTCGCTCAACCACTTTGCAACAACCGGCGCGCCGGCGGCCGTTTTTATGTTTTTAAATGTTCTGCTGGCAATAGCAGATGTATTTTGAACACCAAACCCCAAAAGCTGTATATCATTTTAAAGCTTATTTTCTTATCTACATTTATATACACGTGTAAACTACATCAGACTTTGCATTCAAAAGATATAACACATAATGTGGGCACAAAATAAATCAATTCCGAAATAGTTTTTTACCTTTGGGCTTGTGCTGTACAAATAAATCAGCTCTCCTCCCAGCTTGCAATACATCATTCTCTCTGGAACAGTCCAAAGGAAAATTATATCCACTTGTATTTCCCAAGTAAAATCCATTCTGCAGAAATAATCCAAAAATGTGCATTTATCTTTAGCGAAAAAAAAGAGCACAGATGTTACTCTTTTACTTTTAACGGACTTTTAGCTTTGTTTTTCAAGGGGTGGGACAATGGTGTCCTGTCTTATGTTGTGCCTGGACAATGGTGCGTAATGGAAGCCAAAAGACGCTCTCGAAGCGGCAATGAATTTACACTCATAAAAAAATAACTTTGACATTTAAAAAAGAAAAACACACATAGATTAGTAACTTATAAGTACCAATAATGAAAAATATTGTTTTTATGATGATTAAATGTAAGTAAAGATATTTGGCACAATTTGGCACACTTGTGCCAAATGTACACTACTTGATGAAAAGGAGAAACTGCATAAAAACTATAAAACTTACAAGTCTGAAACTTTAGACAGTTGTTGTCAACAACACAATGAACAGAGGGTTTGAATATTGTGAACTTACAATGAAGTATGCCTTTTTTAGGGCCTTTAGAAATTGAAAATGTTAGGCGAGGCTAAAAAAATTGGGTTTTTTTCCCTAACTTCAAAGGATGCAGAGGAAAATAGGAATGACAAACATTATTTTAGTGTTTTTTTACATAAACTAGAAGGCTCTAGCTTTAAAATGATGCATCACACAAGCATGTGAGATGTAAGATGTGTTTTTAAATAAGCAAAGACATTTGGGTATGCCCAACCATTGTGCACGAGCCAAAATGAGGCGGTTAAGAGGTTAATCGATTAGTTGTTTCAGCCCTACTTGACATTATACTGCTACTTTTAAAGCTGCACTGACTGACTTTTTTTTTTGTATTCATTACACATGCATTGGGCACAGATTTGTATTGGCGTGTCATTTTATTTTAGATTGAGTTTTCCTGAAACAAGGAAGAGAATTTCTCGGGTCCCGATTGTGACCAATCACAGCGGACCACCGGCCCCCACTTTCTTGAAAAGCCACAGGTCTCATAAGCACAGAAAGCTGAAGTAAACAAGCGGCCGAGGACCTGAAGCTTCCATTACGTCTTCCTGTGACACGCATTTTCGTATTCTCCGCTTGTGTTAAACCTTTGATAAAAGCCCCCGGACCGTGGCCGAGGGGCACTGGGGAGTGTGTGGCTGCGCTGCAAGGCCAAAGAAAAGAGTTTCCTACAGGAATAACTCTGTTCTGACCCTCTCTCTGTGTGGTGCTATTGCAACAACACTTCAGACACACACACTTATGTCCTCCGGCTCCGGTCTCTCTGCTCATACGCCACACTTTTCTGTCTTTCATTCTCATTCATTCATTCTCAGCACTTTACGCTTGTTACGATAAAGGCACACACAGACAACACACATGCTCGAGCCTGCTAGCTATAGTAGCAGAATATAAACAGGAAGAGGAGCGGACACTCAACTCGGACAATGAGGTAGTCGCTGAAGTTATACCGGGCGTCTTACTACAGCAAAGTTACGCTGGCACGGTTCAGAGGACACGTTCATGTGACCGCGGGCCGTTTTCACATCCCTGTGATCCACTTTGCCCAGTTCGCTTGTAAAACCTATGGCACCGTGCCCTTAGACAATATTTACCGGACATAAAAAAACAAGATTTATTTATTGTATTTTAATAAATTACTAAACTACTACATGCGCTGCATTGAAAATGGTTTTCACTCAGAGCGATTCTAAGCCACAAAAAGCTCCTGTGTGCGTTTCCACACATTGCCCGTTCTAACTGAATTTCTTCTGTTTTCAGAATGCATTTTATTTCAGTTTGTACAAACTTTTATCATCTCGGATTAAATTAAAAAAAACTATCAGCCATAACAGAGAAATGTATATCGGCCAACATTTTCATATCGTTGCATCCCTAGTTCAGGTCATGTGTGATTAGTGCTGATTGGTCAGTCTCTCCACAGAGCCCGCCCTCATCGCAAAGTCTTCAATCTTATTGGACGTGAAGCCCTGGGACGACGAGACTGACATGAAGAAGATGGAGGAGTGTGTGAGGAGTCTGCAGATGGATGGACTGGTGTGGGGACAAGGTGAGATCAGCGGAACCAGGTTTGGGGACCAGAGGAGTGATGATCACTCACCATCTTTCGGCTGAAGCCCCTGATGTCTCCTTCAGATCTGACCTCTGACCCCTGTGGCTTCTGACCCCTGTGGCCTCTGACCCCTGACTTTGAGCTTTGTTTTCAGCTAAACTGGTTCCAGTAGGATACGGCATCAAGAAACTGCAGATCAACTGTGTGGTGGAGGACGACAAGGTGTGTGTCATGTGTTGTGCTGCAGGTGGGCACACATCCTGGAGTGTGTTGTGTGTAACTGTGTTGTGTTGCAGGTGGGCACAGACCTCCTGGAGGAGCACATCACAGCCTTCGAGGACCTGGTGCAGTCGGTTGATGTCGCCGCCTTCAACAAAATCTGAACAAATAAACTTTACTTTAATGCTGGCTCTAACAGTTTCCTGTGTCACTAGTTTCACATGCACCATTCTCTCACCGTTTCACTTCACATATGACACACACAGCTTCCACCTGCAGAAGTTCTCCAACTCCCATTGTGGACTGTGTGTCTGAGGGGAACTAACTAGAATATCGGTTGGTTATCACGGACTTCGTCAACTGGTGTGAGCGCAACCACTTGTGCTTGAACACCAGTAAGACCAAGGAGATGGTAATCGACTTCAGGAGAAAACCCCTCCCCCACACGCTGCTGAACATCCGGGGGAGGACATGGAGCTGGTTGACGGATTCAAGTACCTAGGTGTCCACATTAAAAAAAACTGCACTGGTCCCATAATACCAACGCCCCTGTACAAGGAGGGCCAAAGTCGCCTCCACCTTCTGAGGCCTCTGCTCAGGACATTTTATGACTGTGGTAGCTTCTGCCATACACTACACTGTCGTGTGCTGGACAGCGGAATTGGCTTAAGCCTAGTTTATACTCGCGCGGAGCTTACGGAGGTGACGTGACGTCACTTGCGCAACGCGTTGGTCACCGCAAGGCCCTTACGTTGCCTGCCCTGCAGCATCGACATTTTCTAACTACGTAAGGGTCGCCGCAAGGAATCTCCGCTGTGATTGGTCCGTGTGTGTATTGGAAGGAAGCACGGAGCGGCTGCAGCAGGGACATGGACGAGGCACTATGGAGCAGAGAGCTTTGTGCTTCGAAGGAAAAGCAGTTTGGGCTCAGCCTGATAAACAGGAGACTGTGGACTATCTAACATGTATATAACTTATAAACTGTGCAGTCGTTTGTTTTGCACTGTTCCTGTCTTTGTTTGAATCGTAGCTGCGTTTGTTGCTTTCCTCCTGCACTCGTAAATCGTTTGTCTCAGATATTTACCACTATTATTGTTTTGCTGGTTGTGCTGAAAACTATTTAATAATAACTGTTTCCAACAAGAACTGTGTCTTTATTCACAGCATCACAGTTGAAATGACTTATAAAATAATGAATCCATAAAACTATCACATAAACCTGCAGTAGAAACACATGTAATGAGCTCAAACAGCTTTGTTTGCTATTGTTCTGAAGAGGACAAAGTAGCAGCGTAAATGGGACCGCTCCTGTGTGATCGCCCTCATGTGGTTTGATGTGGGATTACAACATTCTCCTCAAAACTCCGTAAGCGGAACGCGCCAGTATAACATCAATTGTGCTTACGTAGGTCCACCGCAACCGCTAACGTAAGCCACGCCGCGCAAGTATACTCTAGGCTTTAGACTCAACAAGCTGGTCAGGAGGGCCAGCTCCGCTCTGGGCTGCCCCCTGGACTCTGGAGGAGGTGAGGAACAGGAGGCTCCTGGACTCTGGCACCTCCCCCCCAGTCAGTTAACTCCATCATGGGCAACACTTCATTTTAATGACCTGCACTAGGACCAAAAAAACTCACTGCTATAGTCAGATTTCTATTGTACATAATATAGTCCCTACTGTGCCAGATATATTTTATTTTGATTCTATTTATGCCAATGTGACAATTTATCTTGCGAGATAAAAATGTCTTATTTGATGTCACATCTTTGGCTGTGCTGTTTACACGGAGCCTAGTGTATACTCGCGCGGAGCAGTGCTTACGGAGGGGACGTGACGTCACTTGCGCAACGCGTTTGTCACTGCAAGTTTATACGTTGCCTGCTGCGCAGCATCGAAATTTTCTAAACACTATTAAAAATGAAATGGCTAAAATATTTAACAGAAAAATAATGTCTGGTTCTGTCTCCAGGCGTCTATTTGAAAAAAATGGGAGGTATTGAATTTGTCCTTAGATGTGATTTTTAATGCTGATAAATTGCCAATTAAAGCCTAGTGTATACTCGCGCGGCGCGGAGCTTACGGTCACCGCAAGGCCCTTATTACGTTGCCTGCCGCGCAGCATCGACATTTTCTAACTACGTAAGGGTCGCCGCAAGGAATCTCCGCTGTGATTGGTCCGTGTGTGTGTATTGGAAAGAAGCACGGAGCACAGCAGGGACATGGAGGAGGCACTATGGAGCAGAGAGCTTTGTGCTTCGAAGGAAAAGCAGTTTGTCCTCAAGAATCCAGCTACGGAATGAATTTAAATGGGACGATATTGTTTTTGGACTTTTTCTGGACGACTTTGAGACAAAACTTGTTGTGAATAATATTTTTTTGCTGGCAAAATACTTCATCCATACACGTAAATGGCGAAAGGTAAAGCCTATTTTCACAGTATTTAGGAAGCAAACACAGAATCCCTGAAACAGATGACATGTAAAAATGCACTATCCCTGATTCAAGCACTTGAGGATTTACAAATATTTGACCTCTAATGTAACCGTCTATATATGTGTGTGTGTGAGTGTGTGTGTCTGTATTGTTTCTTTTGCTAATGCCTTGTAAACCGCACTTTGTACAATTTGTTCATTTGTAGCGATTGCCATGATGTTTGTATATTTTACATTTTGATATTTATATTGATTTGTAATAAAAGTATATATATAAAAAACAAAAAAAAGTATACTCTAGGCTTCAAAAATGTCTAACTACGCAAGGGTCGCCGCAAGGGAGCTTGGTCCGTGTGTGTATCGGAAGGAAGCTTGGAGCGGCTGCAGGAGCATGGACGAGGCATTTCGGAGCAGACTGCTTCGCGCTTCGAAGGAAAAGTAGTTTGGGCTCATGGCAGAGCCTAATATACGCGGAGACTCTGGACTGTTCAGTTCTGTTGGATATCTAACATATATATGTATACCCAGGAGACACCATCCCCAGTATTTATGGCCTCCCAAAAATACACAAACAAAACTTTCCACTTCGGCCTATTGTATGTAGCATAGACTCTATCACCTACAACCTGGCTAAACACCTCAAAACCATTCTGGCTCCTTTGGTGGGTAACACCCACCATCACATAGAATACACAAAAGAATTTGTAAATAAAATCAAACACCTCCAGTTTGACACAGATGAGACAATGGTCTCGTTTGATGTGACATCGCTTTTTACGTCGGTCCCTATTACAGAGGCGGTGGAGGCTGTAAGAGAAAGCCTACAGAAAGACGCCACACTAGGGGAGAGAACAAAACTAACAGCTGACCACATCTGTGAAATACTTGAAATGTGTCTTAACACCACGTATTTCCAATTTAGAGGCACCTTCTTTAGACAGATTCATGGCTGTGCGATGGGCTCCCCAGTCTCTCCTATAGTGGCCAATCTGTATATGGAGAAACTGGAGGAACAAGCCCTGGGCTCTTACCAAGGGACAGCGCCAAGCCATTGGTTTCGATATGTAGACGATACATGGGTTAAGTTAAAGAAACAGGAAGTGGAACCATTTTCAGCACACATTAACTCGGTGGACCCTTTTATAAATTTCACGCGCGAGGATGCTAAGGAGAGTGAACTCGCCTTTCTAGATTGTAAGGTCATCATACTGGAGAACGGACAATTAGAGACTGAGGTCTTCAGAAAGTCCACTCACACTGACCAGTACTTGGCCTTTGATTCAAATCATCCGCTACAACACAAACTCGGGGTCATTAGAACGCTTCAACACCGAGCCCACCAGGTCCCCACAAGCTCGGAGGGAAAGAACAGAGAAACCAAACATGTTCAGAGAGCACTTTCCAGATGTGGCTACCCCAAGTGGTCTTTTACTAAAGCCCAAATGACGAGAAAGGCCAGAGACACAGTCCAACAGACAGAAGAAAGTAGGAGGAGAGGGGTGTCCTTACCGTATGTGGCGGGAGTTTCAGAGAAACTACAAAGAATCTTTAGGCAACACAAAATCCCTGTGTATTTCAAACCTTTCAACACGTTAAGACAGAAATTAGTGCATCCCAAAGACAAAACACCCAGACACAAACAGAGCAATGTGGTGTATTCAATTAAATGTAGTGAAGAGGAGTGCACTGACCACTATATTGGAGAAACCAAACAAACTCTACAGAAACGACTTTACCAACATCGTAGAGAAAACTCTAGTGGGCCACAGTCGGCTGTTCATCTCCACCTGAAGGCCTCCAACCACACGGTGGATGACACAGAGGTTAAAATTCTGGCTCGGGAGAAGAATTGGTTTGAGAGAGGGGTGAAAGAAGCCATTTTTGTAAGGAAAGAAAAACCTTCTCTTAACAGAGGAGGAGGGTTAAGATTTGTTTTGCCTCGCATCTATGACGACATCCTAAAAACAACGCCCTAACTTGGGACAAGGTCAGTGACATGCTAATGAGTTAGGAGGGGTGAAACCTGCACTCCACTTGAGCATCCCAGCAGACAATAGGTCTGTGACATGCTAAGGAGTTAGGGTCGTTAGCCTCAGCAGGGTCGTTAGACCTGCTCCCTTCTACATCAAGCAGACCTGAGATTGTTTACGAGTTAGTATCAGGATTAGGGTGTGGCTTACCACACCCATAGGTTATAAATCTCCAACGCGCGGTCCGAGAATTCATTCCCTGAAGAAGTCCCCAGGTTGAGGACGAAACGTCGGGAAAACTTGCTAAGAAGTACAGATGATGGGTGAGAAACCTTCCTTTGCTTTAACATATATATAACTTATAAACCGTGCAGTCGTTTCTCTTGCACTGTTCCTGTCTTTGTTTGAATCTGCAATCGTAGCTTATCACGTCTGTTCCATTCCTCCTCCACTTGTAAATAGTTCATGTCTCAGATATTTACCACTTATTGTTTTGCTGTTTGTGCTGAATACACTTTAATAATAACTATTTTTCCAACAAGAACTGTGTCTTTATTCACAACAGCACAGTTAAATGAGTTGAAACGATGAGTCAATGAGTGAATATACTGCAGGGGGTCACGCATGTCGGGTGGGGTGTTAAAGTTCCTCTGCCCCCTACTGACCGGGCGCAAGAACTACATCGTTTCCAGTTGTCTAAACCCTGTGCACTTCGAAGGAGCCTGGTGGTTTTTGCTAGATTGATTTTTGATATGTTAGTATTA